GCCATCGGCTGACTGACTGAGGCTCGAGTGTTGTGTGCGAGCACCGGTCCGATTCTTGTGCCTCGTTCATTTCGTTCCGTCCTCAACCGATTCAAGCACCGCTCCGAATACCCGACGCCCCATTCCAAATACTATACTTCGTTGGCTAAAACAACGTACCTTTTATCGAAACATTATCGGATCGAACCGAATCCCTCTTTCTGGTTGCTCTAAATAGCTCTCGAGATAGGTAACGCGAGAGGTTTCATACCTCCCTACACTCTCGTATCGCTATCACCCAGCAATCTACCCTTCGCGATAAACCCACTACCCTACAGTCGCCGAGTTGCCCAGACCTAGGCTAACTGTACGATCTATTTTGATTCTGATTTTGCTCGAAATCACGTCTCCCCTCGCGCGCCACGTCGCGTCGTCGCGATGACGTAGACTCTTTTGTCTACGTCACGGTAGGTGTTCCGTCGAGTTTCAATAGCACGACCAGCTTTCGCAGCGAATAAAAGTCCTGATATTTCAATTGTTTACGAGCCGACTACAACCCGCTGCTGCTGGTCGATAATTGTGCGTGGAGGAGAAGGAAACCGGCGGACGCGATCCGGTTGTGTTTGGTGGCTGCTTCAATTCGAGGGACCACGAAGAAGCGTGGCGAGGCTCGCCGAGGCGGTTTTTATTGCGTGCTTAGCGGCCGCCCACTCGTGTGCGCGCTCGTTTAAAAGGTACTGCCTACCGAAGACAATGTTCATTTGTTTCGCGTATCTGAGGAACGCGTACAAGAGAAATGAAAAGTACTCTTCGCGTTTTGTCGTTAACACGTTCACTAGCTCGGTGAAGGTAAACGTGTGCGATAAGGAACAATAAGTCACGAAGTTAGATTTTTAGTTAAATTCATTTGGAAGAATTGTAGATCGTGCGCGATAAGTTAGAAAATAACGAAGGAATCGTGAACCGAATCGGTAAATTGGAATACTCGTCGAACGGATGGCCTGGATACTACGGCTAATTTCCCAGTTTCTCTTAACGGAAGAAAAGGTCGTAAAAGCGTTACAAGGGTAAACGGATAACGTAGATCTATGGTTGAATTCTACAGAAACGATTAAACTAAGGAATCAATAGGGTACCTTTCTCCTTTGTACGAAAATAAATCGAAAACAAATCCCTTATAATTGCGATCTAAATTACGATGCAAATTTCAACCTATTTTTACACTATTTCGTGAAGATATCATGAATTTTGTAGCATCCTTGATAAGAAACGAAGAGAAAAATCGAGTTTTCCACGATGCGAGTCCATAAAATGCAAGCGTTTCAACCGGGATCGCAAACATCGAGAAACGCGATTCACATGGCCGTAGACGTTAATCAAATATTCTGCAATATTCCCAGAGTTTCCGTCTAATACGATAGATACGGACTATCCGGAATATCGTTTCTCGACGAATCAACGAATGGAAGAAAGATTGATCGGTTAAAAAGCAACCACGATCCTACTGATGTATTAAAAAGCTTCGTCCGAACCCCTCATCGATATTTCAAAACATTCGTAGCTATCGAAGAATCGATCTTCGATACCATTATTCCACCAGTAACTGAATTATGCAACAATTGAATTTGCCGTTTCTCTGATTCGCCACAGTCGAACGTGATTACCCTTCCATGTATCGAGAAAATGTTCTGCTCTTTCCTAAATTGCTATGTTAATCAATTTTATTTCGCCTTTATTTACGATTACAGCATTTTCGATAATACTCGTGAATTACCTTCGGTGAATTACTTTTCCTTTAACTTCTTAAGGATTTTACGGAGGAATTACAGCAACAGGTGGTTATGTATTAATTACTATTCAACTTTCAATAATTTACACATTACTTAACCCTCCCAGAATATTCAAAGCATTACTTTTACTTTCCGTTTAACTTCTCAAGAATTCTACGGAGTAGTTACTTACTATTTAACTTGCAACGTTCTCTCTCGTGAAATTCAATTTTCAAACGGAACTAAACGGTTCCGTTTGAAGAATGATATATCGTGGAAACGTCGAGCTATTCATCGATTGGAGGGTTCGTGTTATTGAACCCACGACAAAGTGCAACGTGCAACGAGCATCCTAAGCAGTTTACGGCATCGTTGTAACCCCCCTCGGTCACTGTTCTCAGCCCTCCGCCTAGATCCTGAACACGATTCAAAATGGTCTACCTCCGTCCACCGATTACGATATCATCGAATAATCTGTCCTTGTAAGTAATCGGATGGTCAGCGCTCGTGAACACGGAAAACGTTAACGCGCGAAACGGCGACCATCATTTTTCGTAGGGAAACCACTTGTCATTGTCCCGATAATGAATTCCCAGCTGAGTTAACTCGCGATCGCACGCGAGTTAAGTGAATTAAGTCTCTTACGAACAATTACCTACTCCCCTTCAACGTCTTATTTTCTCGTCCACGTTAATTTATTTCTAACCGTAAATAAATTCAATTCTATATGCATATTCGAGTTACCAAGATTCAACCTCTACATCTGTTCGCGCGATATTTGAAACTCGCGTAGGTACTTAATCTTCTCGTCGAGAGGGGGAGGGAAAAAATATTAAAATCCGGCCGATGGTCACGAACAGCCACGAAATGAATGTTTCGCGTCAGAGTCGGCGAATATCAACGCCGTGCAATCAGTCACCGTTTAATCTCTCCGCGGACTCGCGACAGGTCGAGCGTTTAAATGATTTCTAGGCTCCAGTTTCCCGCCGTCCAACGGCTCACTGTTTTCCGTTCAAAGCGGCGCGCCGGATTTAATAGAATTTATGCGGATTATCCGGCTACTGACACAGACGGTCATCGTACGGATTCCCCGTCGCCTTTGTTTCCATTACTTTTATTTTTTCATTTCTTCTACGACCTTCTCTCGAGAAGACCCGAACCCGTTTCGATAGGTGGCCAGCTCCTTTCGCTCTTCTTATTTCGCATCTGCCGAACCACCGTGCACTCCGCGTACCATTCGAACGTATAGCGAGATATATTTTTGTTAAAAAATTATTCAAAAGTTCTCTAATTAATTTTCAAATTCTAACGCGATTAGAATAACGGAGTGGAATAACATTTGGTACTGAAAGGGTTAGGTGTTAAGATGGTAAAGCGACGTTTCAGGGCAGCAGCGTGTGTTTGGGTGTTCACCGGTCACCGAAGGTGAACGTACTTATTAAGAAGTCGCTAGGCAAGGTAGTCGTTCGACCTCTCTCGAGTTTCTCTCGATGCCTGCTCGACTACCTGACCGTTATCCAAACTTCTTTCGCTCGCATAGCTGCTGCTTCCTGCGTCTTTTATATCGTCAATGTTTAACTGGTTCAACTGTTTCGCGTTCTTGCCCTTCTCGTTTCTTGGAAAAATTCAATACCGATTCGTCCTCGTAGGAAAGATTGTTTTAAGAATTTCAAAAGTCTATCCTCTCCTCGCAATTTAATTTACGATCTAGAATGCTATTGAATCGCTGAGACGATTAATTAAACCCCATCTTCTGTCCTTCCTCCTTAAATGATAAAAATTTTACTCACAGCAAGTTCCGGGACTCTGCGTCTCTCCATTTAAGTGCAAACCTGCAAGAATTTCTATAAAAGGTCTCCCAGGAAACTGGATCGTATCGGTGATGTCTATTTCTTAGATTTTATTGATACTCTCATCGACGATTTAGATTGATCTCTTTCTTATCGAAAGCACAAGTGGCAACAATTAATTGAAGAAAGAAAATCGAAGTCCATCCGGCAAAGAACCGTGAAAATACTGAACACTCAATCTTTATTCGATACGACACCGCAAAGATATACACAATACTCGAAAATGAAATAACTACTGTAGAAAGAAACCTCTATCTTAGTCACACTTACACGATAGAATATCAATGGAGAAGCTGGAGAAACTTAAAAAACTAACAGAGTAAGATGTCAGACTTTATATACTTCATACGAGTAAAGAAAAAAAAAAAAAAAAAAATCGTATCAACACAATTTGTATTCCCATCGATTCGTCAAACTTCACTTCGATCAACATTTTCCCTGTCACAAAACACTGCTACGATTAATAAATAATCCAGATATCATTCGACGAGTCTCACACGGCACAAACTTTTCACACTGAACGTTTCAGCGTGTGACAAGAAAAGCATAAACGATTTAAAAACGAGAAAACGAGAAAAAAAAGAAAGCAGAATGAGAGTTGTTGATTCGAGTAACAGAATGTTCGCGAGAGGAAGATCGTTCAGCCAAAGTTGGGAAGCTTCTTGTTCTCTGTACAATAGCTCCTAACGAGAATCACTCACACACGTCCAAGTTCACGCAACATTCATGTGTCAGGCCGTGTTCCAACTCGCACTACTTAAGGACAAAGATGTTCACCGTGAAAGAAAATAGAAGAGGCGCTTTGAAATCGAGCTAAAACGGATAATCGTGTGGCTTGGTTGTTGCCCCAGCGAAAACGAATAGAAAATTCAATCCAAAGGAGAAAGTGAAGAAAGAGAGACTTAATGCAAGTTGGAACGCGGTCTTTTGCTTTGTATCATCTAACAGGTAAGAATTATTTCGTATTCTTTGGAAACTTGAATCGCCGTTACAACTTAACATAGGAAACACGAAGATTCTGACAAAGTTTCTTGGCGAAAGTTGTAGGTAAACTGAGTATTGACTTTGAAACTTTCAACCGTTTCTCTAACGATATGAGTATGCAGTCATTTGTTGTAGAGGGTGATTCAAAAAGAAAAAAAAAAAACTTTTACCCTGCATATGGTAGAATCGTTCGAGTCCGCAGTTGTGCCGAATCAGGTTTCAAAAGAATACATGGATCGTGTGGCTAAAACGCTATACAAGGCCACCGTAAACGCAGGTACATTTGGTAGTCAGCGAATCCCATCGAGACGGTAAAGATCGATGACAACGAGAATGTCCATCGAGTCCGAACTGCGAGGCATTGGAACACGGCCCAGTCACTTCCTGAACAAAGCACCGGTCTTGAGCAGCCACTCACCTGCAGCAGCCCTGTTACAACAAGCCTCGTTGCTCTCCTTCAGCTGCTGAGCCCCGTTCGTCGTGCTCGTGCTGATGCTCGTGGTCGTGGTCGCTGTCGATACGTTCCCAAGTCCGTTGTCCAACACCTTTAAACCGACATCTGGATCGTTGACCGCAGGCACAATTGTCGGTGTAGTGAGACGCGGTAGGGGAATGTCTCCAGGTCGTTCTACAATTGGCAACCCTCGCCCCGAGTCCGCCATCGAGCCGCGCTGCTGTTCCTGGAGCAAGCAGGCGCTCGACAACAGGTCCCATTGCCGCAGTTTCTCTCGGTCCAGCTCGAACGCCGCGGACGTGCTGGCTGACACCTGGCTCTCCGAGATCGAGCGAACCGGGGGAAGGTTGCCTTCCTCTAAAAAATGATTCCTGTCCTCGTCAGTCGCCTTCCTGTAAGCCTCGTTCTCGGCGTCCCAGACGTAGCCACCGGCGTGAATTCGGTCCATCGACAGGCTCTCGTAAGTCAGATCGTCCAGAAGCCTCTCTTCGTCTTTGTTCGGCCTGCGTTTCACGCGAGGTCTCTCCGACTGTTGTTCTTCCATGCAATTCTCCCTTCTCAAAATCACGCTATCGTTCACGTAAGTGGCACCGCGGGTTACTTTGTTCCGACTCTTCGTGTCCGAGGTGGACACCGACGGTCTTGGCGGGCTGTCCAGGTTGTCCAAGGATCGGGCGTTCCTCAGGCTCACTCTTCGAAGGCTCTCTCTCCAAAGAGAGTCCTGTTCCCAGGGGTCTTCGGCGCTGAAGTTACTGTTCGAACCGGTAACGTTACTGGTGCCCATACTCTGCGGCATCTCGTCCACTTGAGTCGGTTGGACAGTTGCCACGCGATTGCTTCGGTTCCTATGCTCCACCAGATTCTGAAGACCCACGTCGTCCAGGAGACCCTCCAAAGACCTCGATCTACGATGCGACGTCTGCGTTCCATGCGTCAGTTCGAAAGTCTCCCGATTGCTCGCCTGACTGCTCGACTTGTCTCGAAGACCATGAGGGTATAGATTCCTGGGACTGATCTCTGCCGATGAAATATCCGGTAGAGGATCCGTGGACTTCACCCTCCTAAGGGTATCCGCTTCGTAGAAATTCTTCTTGTCCACCAGGTCAACTTTATTGTCGCCCAACAATTGACACGTGGTCTTTCTCAGTTCGGCGGCAATGCGTCTAGCCTCGTCGATGTCGTCCACCTGGATCTGTCTGGGCATCTGCCTCGATATGGGATTGACGATGCGACCTATGTCGTTCTTTTTGTTCAACGCCGACGCGTCGTCCCTTTGATTGTTCAACTGGGGCAGCCTGGGGATGTGCGGTTTGCTCGATTCGCTATCGACCGCGTTCGCGCTAGCTTGTAGGTCGGAATAGTAATAGGGCGCGCCAGACTGTTCGTTCTGAGCACGCGTCTCGTTCGGTAAATAGGATTGCGAAGGGTGATTCGTTTTGACGGTGGGAGTAGAGGTGGGATAATGATTCGAGTCCTGGCTCGAGGAGGATCTGTGGTTAGATATCATCGAGTATCGAGCAGAATCTTGACTGGCGGATCTGGAGTGGTTCTGGAAACGTTGATCGGAATAGGGACTGGTGTTTCGTAGCACGCTGGTTGGCAGATTGTTGCCGTGATGATTTCCTAAGGAGATGGATCCGGTTGGGGAGTGCATCGAAGACTGGGCACTGGCTGGTCTCTGGCAAGCCATGGAAGTTGAAATCGAAGCAGCCGCGGACGCGATCGAATAGCTGGAGTCTCTGCTGTGAGAGGCGGTCAGCAAATTATTCTGAGACCCTCTCTGAAGCCTGTGACCAACGTCTCGCGTCTGTTCGTTGTCCGATCGGATTGCCGGCGAGCCTCTGAGAGGCGAAAAACTGGTGATATTCTCATAATGAGCATCGCCGGTGAAAGACTGCGAATGTTGATGAGAAGGTGGAACAACGTCGGAGACTCTCATGGAAGGCAGACTGCTGGCAGATCCCATCTTGTTTCCATTACCGTATCTCATGGATTGCTCAAGATTATCGAAGCCCAGATTCACCTGGCCCGAGAGGTCGTGACAGGTGGTCTTCTGAAGTTTATCCACCACCAGCATGTTCTCGTTGAAGCCGTAGATGCTGTTGTAGCTGAGATCTTTCGCGTACAAGTCAACGTTGAACGCGTCGCGTGCCTGGAGCTCTTCAAGATACTGATCCAAGTCGATGCTGGCTCCGTCGAAGCGACTCCCAAGAGACTCTAATTCGTCCAAACTGTCTAAAACTTCGCAAACTTCGCTAACTGGCCTGGTTTTCAGTTGTCTATGCCTAGCTTCCTCCTCTGGCGTTCTTAGCTCGACGGAATCGCTTCCAGACGCGCTCTCCAAGGAGATTCGACTGTCTCGAAAAGTAGAACTGATCGTGGCGTCTGAAAATCTAGACGGTGGTCTATGGCTTTCAACTTGACCCATCGGTTTGTTCCACGACTTCGGGGAGTCTCTGTTCGAGCTATTGTCCTTCATCACCGCTACCTGAGGAGACACCTTCTTGATCTCCAAGGACTCTTGCATATCCAATGAGTCCAAGTCGTCCAACGGGGGAGGTGTAGTTGGAATAGGAGGTGGAGACACTAGTTCACTGTCGGACGAATCATGCAACTCTGCGATCATCGTCCGACTGGCGCCCAAATAATAAGAAGCGGGTCTGAAGGTGTCTGACAAACTGAATCGAGGATGTCTTGGAGCGTCGATCGAGTCGAGATCTTTCGAAGACTCGTCGTCGGCGTCCGAGCTGTCGGACTTGAGGGTCGTTAAAATATCAGGGAGATCTGTTCTCGAATGGTTCGAATCATCGTGACTCCTCTTCTTCGACAACTTACCGCTATCTTTCTCTTCCTTTTCCGACAACTGACTCACTTCCATGTAAACAGGCTCCATCTTACTATCGGAAACGCAGACGAACTCGTAGTGAGGAGTGTCCAAGGTGGAATAATCGCCAGAATCGTGTTTCCTATTCTCTTCAGTAGGCGCCAGAAGTGAATGCGTCATGCCGTTCTGAGCCATTTCCACGTACGAACTCTCTTCGTGTTCCAAAGTGGCGAACAGACTTTCCATCATGTTTGGATTCGGTCTGTCGTCGCAGTTAGGGTCCAGTATAGCTTTCCTAGGCGACATAGGGAGATAGTGTTCTTCAGGGTTGATGTCCTCCTGTTTCACCGTGGGACTGGTGGTTCCACTCTCGCCAGAGAAATGATCGCCATGAGTTAACAAGGATTCTGTGACGCTCAGTCTGTTGCAACTGGGATTTGATACAGTGTCCAGATCCTCGTTGGGAATTTCATCGGTCGTGCTCTCCTTGGAGGGCGATCTTTTCTTTCGACGAAAGGACGCGTCTCCTTTCTTCTTCGTCGCGTCAGCGTAAGGTTTGTAATCGTTAATAGGCTCAGGTACAATTTGATCCGTCTTGCTGTCTCTCTCGTTTCCCGTTTCCTCGTTCTTCTCCCGCTGATCCAGATCGCTTCCCGTATCATACAGCAGGGCTTCCGAGTCGCTGAACACTCCGCGGTGTTTCACCTCCTGTCGTCTTCCGTATTCCTGCCTCTGAACTTGCTGCGACTTCCTTTCGAAATCCGCCAGCAAGTCCTTCACCGACTTGTTACTATCCGTGGACGCCTGTTTGGCGTGGCCCTCTTTTACGTTCCTGTACTTGGAATCTTGAGCCTCAGCTTCGCCTAGCGCGAAGTTGCGGATGATCGAGGAACTCTTCTTCGAACAATCCAACTTCGAGACATGAGCTTCGGTAGCTTGAAGCGGCGAAACTTTCAATGGTTCCTGCATCGCGAGAACTTCTTTGACCGGGCTAGAATTGTCTATGTTCGACTCGAACGATCTGATTCTACATTGCACCAAGTTCATTGCTTCCGGTTTACCCGGCGATCTCTCGTCCTCTGCTGATTCAACTTCCTCCTTCGGTTTAATGTACTGATAAGAGAACTCCTTTATAACCTTGCTCTCGTCGATGTTGGAATCCCAATCGTCTCGCTCCTTCTTCGTGGTCCATTGAACGGTTTTCTGACCGGACCAAGACTCGGCCGGGTAACCAGACGACGAGGACGAGTTTGGACTCTTGTTCGATTGCTCGACGCCGTAAGTGGCAGATGTCTTTAGAATTCCAGAAGGCTTCTTCTTGAATTTCTCCTCGTCGTACGAAGCGTCCAGTTCTTGCTGATCGCATCTGCCGACCGATCTGTGCGCTTCCGAAGGAAAGTAAGACGGCGAACGATCGGTTCTCTGAGAGGGTGGGAAGCTGACCTCCTCGTAGCCGGCGTCGGGTGGTATCCCGCCCAAATTGGGCAGCACCGAAGCGTTCGGACTCGTTCGATGATCGTTCGAGCACCTCGGGACGTTCGGATTCTGACGGCCGCTCCCAGGAACCGTGTCCTGAACCGGGATCCCCGACGAACGATTGTCTCCGAGCTGCCGGGGGCTCCTTCCTGCATGCGAGGGTCTGCGCGTTCGCTTCCTCCGGACATCTCCCAGCTCTGATTCGTCCGTTACAAAACAAACACACGAGCACGTTCGTTACTCACGAGTGAGATTAATAACAACCCAGTCCCTCACGACGCAATCCAAGCTAGGTTACCAAGCTGGCATCGATCTTGATCGTTGCGATAATCGTTTAAATCTGATCACACTTGCGTTAAGGTACTTTAAGATGATCCCTACCATTTTATAACTAACTCTCGAGCAAGTACTATAGAAAGCGCATTATCTTTAAGATTAATGGATTATCGCAACGATTGAAAGAATCGATCCACCGTGTCCTCGATTACTCGATAGCAAAGACACGTATTACGAGCTGGAAGTTAAATGGCAGCCGCAGGTTGAACGCAGCTCTACGATACAGTGTTAGTGATATAATCCTCGGCATGCCATGCTGACCCACATGTCGCTAAGTAATACGGCATTTCTTAGTACCAGTGTTAGGTCGTAACGGACGGTTTCGCTTTAGTTAAATTCCAAAGGTGTTAATCGTTCCCATTCACCAGTCACAGCCCAGACCCGACAGCAGCAAAGAGAAGGAGCCCCGCGGACAGAATGTTTGCAGATTCCACTGATATCTTTATTATTTTTTTTTTTTTTTTATTTCTTTTTCTATTTTATCTATCTCTCCGTTCCTTTCACCTTTCTTTAAAGATCCTCGCTATCTACAAACTTTGTCAGCCCCTCTCTAAGAGGCGATAGAAGGAGAAACAGCTAGAGACAGAGAGAAGGAGCATGGACGAGGAAGTATTTTTTTTTTTCAGCTTCTAGCGACTCGTTCTCGGTCTCATTAATATTTATGCTTTGTTTCTTTTCGTATCGTTCGATTCGCAAGTTTTGCTGTTAATTTCAAAGAGTTTGCACAAATTAATCGCTAGTTAACAACGCTGGCAGGTGATCGTTCACACAGATTAATCGAAAACACAATTAACGGAGAAAGAAAAAGTACCGCTCTTCGGAAGAATATCATTTGATCGTTACATGCGCGATCAACGTGTCTCGCTCGTTTCCGTATGAGGTATTTGGTAACTCGTCACGACTCGTGCAACACCATACACAGAAGCGTTTTTACTCGCAGAAAACACTGGTGTCGATAGGTCGACGGTGTTAGAGTGGTTTTACGGGTTAGAGTTTGCTATATGTTCGCAGCACAATCTAGCTATCTACTTCAGAATTCTTTCAATCGCAGAAAGCTTGCTCGTGGAACCCAAGTATCGTTCGAGAAATAAACGTCATAAGTCTCCAAAAATTCTTACTTACTAGAAAATGCAATATCAAAACTTTGAGGAGAGTAGCAAAGCGATACAGATACCGATGATTTGTTTTTCCAACTCACGTCACTCGGATATAATAGAATAAGCGAAATAGCAGAAAAAATCAATTTCCTATTTTGTAAGCAATGCGTTTAACCTTTTCGTTCGTTCGTTGCGTTTGAAAAGAAAATTGAAGAACCCCGTAGTTTTCGAAATCTTACGACAAATCGAATAGAGAAACCGATAGACTGTCAAACGAAGGGGGTCGTAACGAAAAGGTTAAAGAAGAAAAACGAGTTTGAGAGAGGGTTGTAAAGTAATAATAGGGTCCCACGAGAGGCTGGAATCGTAGAAGCGACAAGTCAGATAATAAGTTCAGGCGATGTGTCCCTACCTTCGTCGTCGCTGGAGTAGCTGTTGTACCGAGAAACATTGGCGACAGTTCGACGTCCGTCGGTGCTTTTGCTTCGAGCGTGCGGACGATGCCCGTCCTCTCTTCTTCGGGAGTGACGATTCTCGGCGACCGATGCCTCGTGGGCAGCCAGTTCCAGCAACGCTTGCTGCTTGTAATAGCTCGACAGCTCGTTCTGCATCCTGCCTCTGTTTGCAGAACCGGATGGCTTCCGGGTTAGCGGGGATTGCAGCATCCGCTGCTTCCATTCCAGCAACCGCTTCATCGACTCTTCTCGCTGCAACCACGCAACACCGCTTTGTAACGCCACCTCTTTCCCTCGGATCTACATCTCCGTCGTTTTATGAAAAGAGACTTTTTCGAGGAAGTTAATAATTTATGGATCGAGCGTTGTTATCCGCTAAAACGTACAGTTAACTCGAAGGAAATAGCAAGAAGGCGTTAATCTAAAAATTTCAAAGAACCAACAAAGAGGATCGTTAGAATTCAACGCACGCGCGTCCAGACATAAGGAAGTATCATGCGCGATGTTTCACGTTCAAAGAAGCGCAAATAGCTTCTTTCAACGATGACGAGGATCGAATGGATCGTAGTGAAAGCAGAATCACGGAACGCTGTGGCACATTGGACGTGACTGAAATGCATGTATACAGAGACTCGTGCATAGTAGCCTTCTCTCGGTTAAAAAGAAACACAGGGGAAGAATTTTCCTAAGCACTCTGACTCATACTTGTTCCTTAAGAAAACAGGCTAGGAAAATGTGAAACGTCGATACTAAGCCGAGGTATACCGGAATTGAAACACGAGTGCATCGGTTCCCCCGTTCTTCTCTTTAACCAAGGAAAAGGCATCCTTGCACGTGACTGTACCTCGGCACAGGTTGCACCTTCGCGTGAATCATCTACCTGGGAGCTATGCAGCCTACGAAATTGTTCTGTCCATCAACGAGTCGACGGACATGGTTTACGATTACACGAAGAAAGCGAGGGGACGATTTATGAGTCACCTGTTCGTTGAGTATCCTCTGTTTGAGGATTTGTAACGCGTTCCTTAGACATTCCGCCGGTCATCGAGAAAAATAATGCCTTCCGTTTGTAAATTATTGATATTTGTAAGCACGTTTCAGATATTAAACTAAGAAGGTTTCTACGTAATTATTACGGAACAAGATTTCACCGATCAGCGAACGCGACATTTGGCACACTTTTGAAATTCTTTAACGAACACGTCACAGCTTACACAATTTTAATTATTACACCATCACGAATGATTTTAACTTCGTTTAATTATTTAACTATCGCTTGAAATTTTCAAATTCTACGAGATTGAAAAAAAATAAAAATAGAAATAAAAAATGGATCACTAACCTGTTGGATCTTGCGTTCACCATCCCGCGAGTCCTGCTCGGAAGATCGTTCGCCGTAGTCGTCGTCGTCCGGGTCCAAGGCTGCCGGATGTCGCGTCCTCGGAAGCCGCGCGGACGCCGACCTGCAGAACTGTTGCTGCTCGTTCCATCGTCTGGCAGCACCGTGAGCGGCGTGACACGGTTGGCCCACGTGAGCCCCCTGACTCGTGTGACTCGTCGTCGATCTACCCCACCCCATCGACGACTCGTAATCCCGTGGAATTCGTCGAGGCACCGTTCCGTCCTCCACGTGACTCAGCATTTCTCGGCTGCTTGGCTCGTAGCTCTTCTCCCGCAACGACCTCCTCATCTTCGCTTCGTTGCTGTTCATTCTGAAGGGAAACGAGACAAATTCCCAACTCTCTCTCTCTCTCTCTCTCTCTTCTGCCTCTAATTTCTAATTTCGCTACGAATTAACAGTTTTCTTGTCAGCAATTTCAAGAGGCAAACACTGAATCGTTGCTAGCAAAGCAGTAACCGTAGACTGTATAATCGGATAGTAAGATAACGACGAAAGCGGAGTGACTCGAATGACGAGTAAGATAATTGAAGTTAATCGCTGTAGCAGTCAAGTTGAATTGTTGAAAGGAGAAGCATTTACTTAAAAATTAACGCTTTCTATCTAACGATAATTAAAGAGAAGAGGGAGATTGATGAGGAGAGCATAGCGACTCACTCGGTATGCCTCTGCAGCGACTGATGCGGCATCACGTGCTGCTGATGAACGTGTTCCCGTTGCCCTCGCCTCAGCCCCGTGCAGGAAGCTTCCGGTAACGTAGCTATTCTACCATCCTCGCTTCTACCATCGCGAATTCCCGTTGCTTTCGACGGCATTGTCGCGCGGGAAAGTGATTGGTTCCTTTGTTGCTGATGATGCTGCGGTGTCTGATGGAGGTAAACCGCCGACTGGCGCATCTGTGCAGCGTATCTGAACCAACATCCAATCCCGAAATAATTTCAAAATCGCCAAATGCTTTTCGATCGAAACGTTCGCGATAATAAAATATTTTTTTCAAACAAACACGTTTCCCCCCTTTCAATTACCTCTCCTCGGAATAGAAATATCCATCGTTAGCAGGGTCCGACGGAGTGACTATGTCTAAACTCGATTTAGGCCTCTGCGGACGTCTCTGTTGATTCAGCGATTCTTCGCATTGCGGCGGTAGCTGTTGTTGCGGCTTCCTGTTCGCCTCGTACTCTAAAAAGTCAGCGCTGTGCGGCCGTGGCGGTGGTTGAGCTCTTGGTTGTCTCATTATTGGCACTGAATCAAATTCAATTAAAAATATCTCTCTTCTCCTTTTTCCAAACATTCTGGAATATAAAATAGTTAAAAAAAAAAACAGAGACGTACCGTTAGAAGCGGCGACGGGAGAATGAATTTGCTGCTGATACTGCTGATGTTGCTGAGCGTAAAGCGGAATCGGTATAGGAGCCGGTGAAGCTCCCTTCGTGTAACCAACAGGACCAGCCGGCCTCTGGTAGAGTTGAGGCGCGCCATAAACTTCCTCGTAGTCGCCGTTTCCTCTGTGATTCGACCTCGGTTTCGCCGCGCTACGTCCGTACGTGTCCGGTGTGCGCCTCTCAGTCTGCACCTGGCCGGTGTAGCCATAATTCAAGCCCGACTTGTCCGTTCTCAGACTCTGCTGGGACGGCTGACTCATCCTGGTTCCGTAGATCATGCTGTTCCTGTCGTAGTCCGACATAGGACTTTTGCTAGTCACCGTTACGTCCGGTGACACTGGCGACTTCCTGTAGTCCGGGTCCGGGGATGGCGTCGAGTACTCGGTCGAACCGTCGGTCAGTCTTCGGGGTTTCGGAGGCGCGTTCGCGTAGATCGGTTGACCGAACTTCCTGGGCATCGGTTGGACAGTTTGAACGTTGCTGGCCAAGTGTGACTGGCTCTGTTGTTGCTGAACTACGTGTTTGTGTTGGTGAACTTGATGAGCCGATTGGCTGTTCTGATGGGATATGTGCTGATGGAGCATCGCCTGTTGCAGTTGTTGAGGAGACGGCATCAATTGACCGTATTGCTGTTGCTGCTGAGACGTACTGGCTTGGATGTACGGAGTTTGTTGTTGGATCCAACCGTTCACCATTGGTTGAACTTCGTTCACGTTGTTGTTAGAGTTCACCAGCGCAACATTGTTGTTGGTATTATTGTTATTGATGTTATTGGTAGTGCTGTTGCTGTTGCTGCCACTGAGATTGGGAAAGGAGGCAGTGTTCACGCTGTTCGGGCTGGAATTATTGTTGGACGCGTGGCTGGGATCGTCCCGAGATTGAAAACCATGGAAACCAGAATCACTGTCGTCGGCGCTGTGATTCAGGATCGAGGATATCGAGGAGACGCTCGGTCTTGCGCTTCGTTCGCCATCTTGTTGGCCTGCTATTTCGATCACCACCGCTGCCTCGCCGAGTCCGCTGAAGATATTTCAATAGAAAAAAAAAGAAAGGAAACGATACTTACAACACTTTATCACTGAAAATCAGACAAATGATTTTCGAGCTTTCACGAAGAAGTGGGAAAGCAGAATCGCGACCCGGTAAGCAGTTAATTCGACGGATCAGTGTGCAAACCGAAAGATCGACAAACTGTAGTTTAGAAAGTTTCGCGGTGGTCGTGGAGTCATTAGCTTTGAGAACGAGCAAGCTGAGCCCACACAGTCAGGTTACCTCGAGCCAGAAACTTCCTGCAATCGACATTGCAAATTGAATGTGCATTTTGTACTTTTTCGACGAAACGTTCGCTAGACCAACGGCAAACACACCCCTTTTAACACGTTTACCCGTGAGTAACTTTGACGGACGCAAACTAACCAGTCGGATAACGTCGCGCCAATGTTGCGCTGCACCGAAAGTTACATTCATGCTGCCTGCAATGCTTTTCAGCCAGATAAACGACAACCATTCTACGCCAGTCGGATGGAATTTCCATCTCGAAGGAAACAATGGATGGATTTTGTAACTTTAAAGATTATTAAATTTTTGTTTTCTATACAAAAAAAATACATTACCATCTCTAATTGTGAGATGAAAAATTCAATAACTTACCTTTGGGAAGGTGTTCTTAATTCTCATAATTGTTCGCTTCCTTTGCCAAAGACAGCAGGCTAAAGTAATTTAACGAGACACGAAAAGGAAGAATGCTCCGACCGAAAATGGAGTACGCTTTTATTCGCTCGGGGAACGCGTTTCTTTTGACGAAACTGAAACCTTACGTATCTCGACGAAACAATTCGGAAAAGAAATGAGAAATGGGAAACGGATGACGGGGAACACTGATACGAGGCAAAATGCAGATAAAGATAGCCGAGATAAATTGTGAAATAAGAAGCAAACAGTGTCTTGAACGTGAAGTAGTCTCAACGATGAAAAATGAAGAATATGTTTCTTTTTTTTTTAAAATGAAATTACGATGACTTACGGGTTCGGATCCTGAAGAAGTGTCGCCAGAGTTAACGCGTTCACCCATTGATTCATGCTCTCGAAACTGTCCGCTGCAAAGTGGTACGTCCTCATATTCGCGTGTTCCGCTTTGAATGCGAATTTTCTATTAACTTTATCCTCGGGCTTGCAAACGGTGACCTTGTACGATGGTAACAATATCGAGCCCAACAATTTCTCCTCTTCCGGACCTGTAAACAAATTTTCACAAGAATATTTATTAATGGAAAATCCGTTTGACCGTTTGGTAAATCATGAAACGTTGATATTTTGATATTCAATGGCGCGTGTCGAAAATACATGTTACTACACGGTCAGTTGCAGTTACGCGATAAATGGAATGTTGATCGAGCGATATTGAAAAACGTCCGATTTTGACAATGAACGGTGAAAATAAAATCCCTTTCACGTTATTCAAGTTATAAAGTAGAAATGGCTATAGTTTCGATTCGGCAAATAAAAAAGGCTAGATTGAAACGCGACTTTGATGGAACAGTCAAGATGGCTCGAGTTGCTCATCAATCAGAAATGTTTCGAGATACCGAACAAACGCGAAACGATTTCTCCGTCTGACAAATCGAAAAGTTTCGATTCGTTACATTGGAAAAATCTTTAACCGACCACTGGCACGCGTTAGTTCGCGCCTGTTGGAGACACCTACATAAATCCTTTGCGCTGAATCACGGACAGAGGAAAAGGAAGGAGATAAAAAGTGTTGTAAATTTCGTCGCGAATGCCAGAACGGACACGCAGCCGAACAGAAGAACGAAAGATGTACGACGTACCGTGAACGAGTACAACACTTTTACTACAATTTATGCGTTGTTTCCTTCTATTCGAACAGATTCTAGCGTGAATCATTCTGCTAGGAGAAAAAGAAATAGCGGCACTTTTTTAAATACATATTTGTAGTAACTTCATTTCCTAATTTATTTAATAATTTTCATCTCGACTCTAAATTGCCGGACGATGTAAAAGAGAAAATATTCCGGAAGTCTGAAAGAAGTGCGTAAGTAGAAAATGAGGGAACTCGTGCAATTAGTGTTGCCGGAAACGATCTGGTGGATAGGAGTTAAGGGTGAACGGGAAAGGGGTCGCAGCATGACGGTCGGAAATTGGAAATGGTCGCGAGTGTACCGGTGAAAAACAACGAGACCATCTAGATGAGAGTTGAAGCCGTGCCAAAATCTGTCTGCGACCGACGAACGGGCAAGAAAAATTCTTGATTTCATTAGAATTCTCTCGTCGAAATTCAAATTTCATCGATGTTCGAAGGGACAATGAAAGCGAACGATTAAATTCATTTCACTTTCCCTCTTTCCCTTTCATCCTCTAAATATCTTTGTTTCGTGTAATTGAAATCTGGTAAAAACCTCATTACATTTGGTACTTGTTGCATTTAACGCTTGAAAAATATATTTCTCTCTTGCATTCTGTGCTGTATGAATGATAGAAGAGAAGTTGAAACGGTTGTCTGACCAACTACTGACTAATACTACTTCCTCCTTGCTACCTTCCAAGGGGAACGACCTTTCGAACATCGATTTCGTTCAAACTTCGTACTGTGTCTCTTTTTTTTATTATACCGAGAGAAAAATACACGGCACGATACCTAAATCCATAAAGCTTACGCTACACTACTCTCGTACAACACACTTGTTAGTACTGAATTAATTTCCACGCAAAGAGCAGAAAGTCATGCAACAATGGTGATATTTTCACAGAAAAATTTCTTCAAAACCCCGGAAACAGAAGCGATCGTTACGGTTTACACGTTTTAACAGAACGAAAACAAAAAAAAAAAAAAGAAAATCGCATGTAATGTCAAAAAATTCTCTCCATTCACGTTTGCGACTTTATCTAAACAAAACCGTGGCAAGCAAGAAGAAACAAAGCAGGTATTCTCAATGAAACCACTAGAATCACGAGTCGACTGCTTTCTCGTTGAAAAATCATGCTCGGTGTCGTTCCAAAGCTGAACATAAAAGAACGCACAGCGAGCCAGGTAAAAGGAAGGAATGAGAGAAAAATAGGATGGGATAGCGAGGGAAAAGGTAGGCGACACGTAATATAAGCAGAGACAGAAAACAGAAGAAAATGATGAAAAAGGTTCTGACCTTTGTAATAAAAGAGGCAGTACTCGGAGAGGACGAACCACCGTTTCTTCCACAGCATCAGACCCTCGGAACCCTGTTTGTGTAGCCAGCCCTGAAGGGCGACAGGGGCGGATAGCGGCCTCTTTGCGGCAGGCGATCGTAAACCCTGAGATCCGCTTCTTCGGCGAACACCCGACACGGAAGCTGCCACCCCCGAGCCATCGTTCTTGCTACGCACCTGGACAGGTACGGGGAGGGGCGCCGCCTGGACAACCTGTAATCATTTTACATTTTCTTCCTTCAGAAGCTCGACGCGATGGTCGTAATTCAAATCGGAAGGGTTAACGATTCGAATATACAGGGGATGATCAGAGTACGTATACCAGTTTACCTCTACCCTCTGTGGTATAATTTGAAGGATTTTAAAGGAAAATAAGCGGAAAAATTGTAAATTTACTCGCCAACGTCATTAAATTTGTAGCAAATGATTTTCCGAACCAGCAAACTTTCAACGAGACCGTAAGAAAACTTTCCAACGTTGACTGTAATCACTGAAATGTTGAACAATTAAATCTCTATTAATTCTCTCCGGTCTGCTTCGGTCGAATCGATCGTCCAATGTTTTACGAACAGTGCAGAGGTCAGCGAACGAACAACCAGTCGCTCACAGACCACTGAGTTTTCTGCTACTTCTCGATTTCTACGTTAAATCCAAACTGTGCCAACTAACGAGCCGGTCGAAGCTGGACGTTAGCAACCACTCCACCGATGTACCTTCCAACTTAATCGGCTTCTCTTGAATTCTCATTGTATAAACCGTGGACCGATTTCCCTGAGAAACACTCGTCCTCGTTCAACGAGAACACTCTTTGCTATTTTTCCAGCGAAACTTCTTAGGTCACGGTAGTGCGAGTCGATTAATTAGGAATTGGAGTGAAACGAAAAGTGAAACTCGCAGACTTTCCAGTGGTACTTCAATTCCGAATGAATTGTTAATTCAACACATTTTTTGAACTGAAACTCAAAAGACGCTCTTTGTAAATTATAATTTGATAAAAGCCGCGGAAAAACACGGAGATCCTTTAAATAAAAGGATAACCAGCAGACGTTTGTTGAAAAGTCAAGAAAGCAGACAAAGGACGTTTTGTTTTCCAGAGATCATTGTTACCCCGGAAAACACGCAACTCGGAGTCGGAAAATCCGGCCGGAAAGCTTTTCTTCCAGCAAGTGGCGTCGACGGGAAGACGAGGATTCGCTTAAAAGATTCGTTAAATCAAAAAGTCGGTACTCCCGCAGGATTCGGTACAAGGACCGGAGTCGAAACTTCCGAATCCTCCTGTATTCGAACGGATAGATCCGCGGGAAAGTTCGTTTCACGGCTAGAGAAAAACCGGCGGGAAAAGTTTCACCGGTCGTTTATCTTTAATTTTTTTTTTTTTATTCTTCACGCAGCAGTCTCGCGTAAATGTGGCTCGTGGAACTTTCCAAGTTGTTTGCGTCGGTTCAAAGTTGCCGTCGCGTTTTGCGATCATTAGTCTGTCGTTGTCTTTCCGCAGCTTTGAATACAGGAAACTTTTCAGATCAATACCAATTTCCGGCAATTGTACCGTACAAATTGTATTTGTAATTCTGTCGACAGTTGCAATTTTCCCCGACTCGATGCGTGGGGTAATTCTGTAAGCAGATTTAAATCGTCCGTGATTTATTCGACGACTTCGTGAACTTCGTCTCTCCGTGACAATGAAATTGATCGCAACATCCTATCGAAATTCAGTAAGCCACGCAGCTGTGACTCAGTGAACCGATTAAATCGTAGCGAATAGTAATTTATCAAAGAGCCACCCTACACGAACAGGTAATTAAAGAGCAAACGATGTAACTGGAAACGTTTAAAGTTTCTGGTTAATTCACCGAGGTATCTACATTAACTCCGACCCCTTATCGCGTTAACTTCAAACGACATCGCTAACTACTAACCCAAGTTCTATATCAGACAGCAGGAAATCTTTACAGCCACCATAAACCCCCATCAAGCGAATAGATCGTTTTCTACTAGTGGAACTTCGCAGCCGATAACTAAACAATGGTTTGTTACGCGGTTCGAAGCGAGCTAGATCAATCGTTACTATCTTTCAAAAATATTATTTTATTCGCACCTTTTTGCTGTCCATTCCGGACGTCGAGCTGGTCACCGGCTGGTCGAGCCTGAAACAAAAAGAAAAACAACAACCCTGTTATTCTTGAGGGGGAAATTTTTATTTGTGCTCGAAAAAGATATAGAACCGTAAAGGATTAATTCGCTTTAAAAACCAAATTTTTATCAATAAATCCAACTTTTTTAATCGCAACTGTTTCGAGGAAAAACATTCGAGTTGCACAATATTTTCGACGCAAAGTTTGTGCCGTTTTCAAGCGAGCCACGGCAAATCCTTTCAACGAAATCTACTCCCTTTATCGACTCCTTTACCGCCGCTTTTTTTTTCCCCCGTTTTTGTTTCGAGACTCGACGCATGTTAACAACTTCAACCCCTTCGCCAGGGGGTGCATAGAGAATCGACTGCGAACCTTTGAACAGCACTTTGCGTCAGCCGGCATCGTCAATTACGAGGAAAAGGGAACTTCCTTTCCGTTCGGGCTTTTTATCCACGTTTTTTGCGCAATTCCTTCGTACGCTTGGGATAGAGAAATTGCGGGTTTCAACAAGAATTGTCGATCGAAAGTCGACGTAGAAATTTTCGACAAGAAGAAAATAGATTATTACAATCACTGTACTATTCTTCGTACGTGGTCCAATATCGCAATGGATGAATTTTTTTAGGAATTGAAGAAAATTCGGTCTATCGGCTCTCTTTTCGTGGCTTTTTTTTCCCCCAAAAATTCACGTCGTTCTTTCAGGGTAACGAATTTAAAATGTGCCGGGCTACATTCGCGGTCAGTGGATTCAGCGATCGCGTCGCGGCGACCTGATTTCCAGACAATAGCGGCGACGTTTTTTACGCTGATGTCATTGAAAATTTATCGAGCGGCTCGGCAAAATACTTGATTCATAGGAGCAGGTGAAAACGTCTGAAAGGAGAGAGCTTCTCCGAAGGCAGGCCGCAAATTGCTGGATGCCACGGTCTTCTCAATTTATACACACGACCACTCCACCTTTTTCATCCGGCTCCTCTTCCTTTCTCTCTTTTTGCCCTCGTGTCGTTCGAGGATCGCGCAAATAGCCTCGACAATGCTTCAGAAAAGCCGCTTTAATTCCTTTAACGTCGCGGATCACAGGGGTGCTCGAATTATTTAACGGTGAAAGTCGATAAAAGTGCATCTGATGATAAATTTGAAATAAACCGAACGCTAGTATTAAAGTGCCGAGAACAGAGAAAACCGTTCGGTTTCAACGAGAAAGTGAATTAAAGGAAGTACCGACGGAATACAAACGCGAAACGTTCAATTTATTTCCTGGGAAGTGCTCATACGAGCTTAAATTTTCCCATAAAACGTATCGAGCTATCGCACTTTATCAATGCCGAGACAAGGTAGAAAAGAGAAACTTTATATGGGTAGGAACGAACGGGCAGGGTGATACGGAAGGTCAGTCCGGTTCGAGAGGAAATCGATCGATCGACCTGCACGATTTTCCGGTTGAAAGCCGCACGGGACGTGTTACTCGATACTTTTTCCACGAATTACCCACCTACCCGTGACCACCGTTCCAAACCCCCAAGGCATTTACCAAATGTTATTAAACATACGCTTCGATGATAAAATAACAAATTCGATTGCTTTATTTTTGGAATTTCAACGTTTCGTTAGTTAAACGAGATGGGCAAATAACAATGGGTCAGAGGAACGCGAGCAACCGATGAAGTTGAGGAAACGTGCCAGTCGCGGTAATTGTTTTACTCGTTCCAACGTACCGGAAGTGACCAGAATCCACGGGGTGGACGGTAGTCGAACGAACCGCAGGGAAGCTTCGATTGGTACCGCATTCCTTCGCAATTTCAACGAATCGTGCTTTCCATTAAGCGAACTCCAGCTGGTATTACACGCGATATTAACGCGGACGGTTTGCTCTAATGAACTGGACGGAATTCGCGTCGCGTTTTCCGGGCGAATCTCGAAAAGCGATCCTCAGGAAACGGATGCAAACGAGAGGACAGCTGAAATCGACATTGCTCTCACGTTTTATTCGGCAAAACGTCCCTGGTGAACCGTAATTCACCGCCCAAGGAAGATTCTCTGGAACAACGGAAAATATCCGAAAATTCTCGCAAATCGTCCGCGGCGAGTTGAATTAATTAGATCGAGGGAGAAAAAATTAATATTTTTTTTTATCTGTTTCCCATCTTCAACAGGTTGCTCCATTTTCAAGGAGATAATTTTCAGAAGTTTTCTCTGCAGTTGTTAAAAGTAAAGACATCAGCGTTAAAGTAATGATGATCGAACTTTAATCGGTTGAACTTTCCCTGGTCACATGATCGATTGTATCTGATCGGTCAGCAGTCCGGATGAGTAAACAAAGCTGCTCACCGGAAGACTGAATTACTTCCGCTGTCATTGCGTCATCCCCCGGGGAAAACAAGGTCATGCCAAGATATAAAAGTAACGCGTAGATTGAACAAAGAGACTCGATTCGTTCGTGGTTCGATTCACTTCGCATTTCGCTTCTTTGTTGGATATTTGATGGTTGCCGAGGAGGCTCCGAAGGGGAAAAGTAACGAACAAAGAGCAAAAGAAAGATAACCAGGTGTACGTTTCGTCTGATAGGTTATCGATTGGTTTAATACCATTTTTATCCACCTCGAATCCTACCCAGAATGATCTTTTCCCATTCATTCCCTCCTCGTGCTATGGTTTTAACCAACTATAGTCAATTAATTAATACGTTGAACGTAAAGCTCTAATTACTAAGAATAGTAATAATTAATTTTCAAATTTCAAATTTCAAGCTTTCTATTTGCCATTTCACATTATTTCTACCATAGCAATATTACTTAAAATAATGTTCTTCTGTTGTTTTCTTTCAATTATTCAGGCGTGTGTAAATGGCGGAGTCGTCCACGGCATTAATCGTGTTAATATCGTTAAACCTCGAGATAGTTTTGCTAAAACGAGTGCATAAGAGAGAAAAATTCAATCTGGCAATCGAATGAATAATTGAAGCCGGTCATAGAGTATGCAAGATAGAACGATTTGACGCAACGATATCATTCCCACAGAGTTATGATCGCAGCGAACACGCTCGGAAATCACTAATTTACGCTGTTTACTTCGCCACCCGCGTAATTGCACATATTCATTATATCACGGCAATGTTTGCGGCACCCCAAATTGTTATCGAATGCATAGCGGCACTAACCGCATTGATGAAGAAAATCCACGAGCCCGACTCGGATATGTGTATATTCACATTTATAGAGCTAGAGCTAGCTGGAAAACCAGTTGACACATTTATCGACTAAATAAAATGATCTGTTACTTTGACAAGGTAACCAGAAACAATTCTGAATAGCGACACACATTTGATATCAGATGCCAATATCATTTTTGTTTATAAATTCTTTTTATCTTTAGATATTCGACCATCTACCACAACGTTCTCTACTGACAACTGCCTTGTTTCATATTTCATATTATTAAGCACGTGATGTACGTGCCTCGTGACATGTGACAACCCCCCGAGAGACATGACTGATGGCATCCAGTTATTTCGGTCACGGAATACTAATAACGAGGCGGCCTAGAAAGGTTTACTAACAGAAAGATCGAATTTATAAGGAAACCCTAAGGTATATCCGATGATTGACAACGCACCCCAACCTTTGCTTTCCATAAATACCAACGATATTTCCCGTCATCGAACGCGTTGCAATCCTTCTGATCGAGCTGTACAGTTTCGCATACGCGTATCGCCATCGAGCATGCAACTCGGAAGTCATTGCAAGCATCCACGACGATCGTTGCTCTACCGAGCTGACCCAGCACATTGTCCTTGTACCAGCTCGTTTCTCATTCCTGATCGCGTTAATCTATCACCCTGGACGCATTATCACCACCACTGTCGGAATGCTTTATCGAATCGTCGCCGTCGACGAATTCACGAAATTTCCCCGTTGTTCGCTACTCGTCGAGTCATCGAGATCAATCGGCCGTGTTCCAAACGCTTTCGAAAGCAGTTGGAAGGAAAAATAGAAAATTAGAGGGATAAGACGGTCACGTCTTGCACGATCGAGGGTGGCCACCCTCGATGTGTCTTAATTCGCGCGGGAATCAGGTCGGTGCTATGCGCCACGATGCGCCACCGTTTCGCTGTTTAACGCGTTTCTGCACACGGACACACGTGCCACGACCTTTTACACCGCTAAATTACAAGTTTGCCAGCAACGTGTCTCGCGTAACGCGGCGAAACAAAGTACAAAAGCGTTCTATCGCGCCAACGTCACACTTTCTAAACCTCCAACCACTTTCCTACATTAAATATTGGATAAATGCTTTTGTTGCAAACGTGTACATTTGGTAAGTTTAAATCTAAATTACAGGTTCCAGGGTAATAAAGGGTAGAATCTAGTAATTGCTTCTCCGGACATATTTCTTTTCCCTTCTGGCTCGTGTATTTCTATTTTCACCCTTCCTAGTCTTAATTCTTCTGCCAGGAACAAATCTTCCCTGGCTTCGTCCGGTTTGGTCACTGACAATACACACTTGCCGACCAGACCCGAACGTGTCCAACTATTGCGTTCCACTAGCAGTATTTTCTCGTTTTCCCCGACTTTCCCCAACGGTCCTTGTTACCATCGACCATCTGTCTTTTTCTCTGGACAAGTTTCTCCGTCGATTGAAAATCGACGAGCCACCCTCTGCCACCATTCAATCCTGGATAAACATTTTCTTTCAACCTCCACGGATTTTTTACTATTTCAAAAGAGTGATATTCGGTTGCTCCCGAAATGTATGAATAAGTTACACTTTACGAACATCCTCTACTTGGCTACCACGCTGAATTATACCGCCTTTCGAAAATTTTTATGGGAGAACACTAGCGTAAGAAGAAAGCGATGTACCACCTACTAACCTCTGATAAACGTCCCCTCGTTTATCCTCTCGCAGTTTCGTGGCTTCTTTAGTACGTTCCTGTGCGAAAGGATAAATTGAATCTCGTGAAACCTCGATCATCGAACGGCTGCGATGAAAAATTTGCCGAAAGAACAATATTG